CTTTCTCAAAAGCTGGGCTGCTCAGAGACCACGAGGGCCGATCTCAGAAATCGAAGAGGCACCTACTTTTCCAGCCCTGTCAGCACCTGTCACACGCACACTCAGCTTTGCGGAAATTATGGGCATTCTGTCGAAGATTTCTGGCGAAGTAGAAAGCACATGAATCATATGGTTCAATCACCCACTTCCCACACGCAACAGTAGCTCATGGGTACCACATATAACTTTGCCAAAGTTCTCTGACAAAGTTGAGACACGTGAAGCTTGCAGCTTCCACTACATCACTCTGACCAAGAAGGGTAAAAGATTAGCAAAGAAACAACACTAACAAAGTTTAGACACATAAATTTTGAAGGTCTACTACAAGGGTAAAGGAACAGTACCACTGCTGGATAATTGGAAAGTCCCGGTGTGTCAACCTCTGTGCTTCGTGGCAAGGTAGACTAGCAAACATGCCCAACCTTTACCCACATTCGAGAAAACACTCCCAACAAGATTGCTTGCTCCAAAATCGAAGAGGCACCGCCCTCCGAATCTCGAGAGCCAGACTCCCAACATGATTACTTTCTCAAAAATCGAAGAGGGTAAAGGAACAGTACCACGGCTGGATAATTGGAAAGTCCCTGTGTGTCAACCTCTGTGCTTCGTGGCAAGGTAGACTAGCAAACATGCCCAACCTTTACTCACATTCGAGAAAACACTCCCAACAAGATTGCTTGCTCCAAAATCGAAGAGGCACCGCCCTCCGAATCTCGAGAGCCAGACTCCTAACATGATTACTTTCTCAAAAATCGAAAAGAGGGTAAAGGAACAGTACCACTGCTAGATAATTGGAAAGTCCCTGTGTGTCAACCTCTGTGCTTCGTGGCAAGGGTAGACTAGCAAACATGTCCAACCTTTACTCACATTCGAGAAAACACTCCCAACAAGATTGTTTGCTCCAAAAATCGAAGAGGCACCGCCCTCCGAATCTCGAGAGCCAGACTCCCAACATGATTACTTTCTCAAAAAATCGAAGACACCGCTCTCCGAATCTCGAGAGCCAGACCCCTAGTAGGATTGCTTTCTCAAAAAATCGAAGAGGCATCGTTCTCCGAATCTCGAGAGCCAGATCCCCGACAGGATTGCTTGTTCGAAAACCGAAGAGGCACCACTTTCCGAACTTCAAGAGCTGGATCTCCTTGGATAAAACTTGTCTGTAATCTTCACACGCAACATCAGCTTTCCAGATACCACAGATCACTTTTTCAAAAGTGCTCTGACAGAGTTAAAAACTTGTGAAGCTGGCAGCTCCCACTACCGTGTTATATATGACCAAGCAGGGTAAAGGAATAGCATTATTACTTGATGTTAGGGAGACTCCTATATATGTCGACCTCCATCCCCAACGGACAGGCAGACCTGCAAAAATGCTCAACCCTTCCTCTTATCTGAGAGGGCACTCCCAACGAAGCTTTTTCGAAATATTCAGCTTTCTTTCCCCCGATAATACCTCTGTAAACAAGCTATACTAGAGCAAGAATATCTCATATCATCAGGATTAAAAGCAAGAGTATCCCATATCATGCTTTTTCCCTGTCTTTTCCTTTGGCCTTGTTCTTACCTGCAAGACAAGGAGAAAGAGAGCAATCAGTCAACACTTGGAATCAAGCTTCCAGCCAGGAACTGACTGCCTGGAACCCCTTACCTGATTTACTTACCTGTCATTGCTCTCGAGTACTCATTTTCAACATCTTATGCTTCCAGGGAAGATCCCGCATCTGCCTGAGGAACAGAAGATAGGGCAAGTGAGAAGGATACAAGGAAGCATGTGGAGACAAGCGTAACAGCACACGTGCCGATACATCAATTACTCTGTCAAAAGCAAAAGTATCCCATATCAGCAGGGTCGAACGTACTCTAGATTTGATGGACTTGTTTTGACCCTCAAATTCTTCAGTCGGCCTTATCTCTGGAGGAAACCAGAAAACCCTCCAGCCCAGTTCAAGAATAAGCCTGTGGAAAGTTACTTCTTTCAAAAGCAAAAGTATCCCATATCATCTCTTCTCATTTTTCTTCTCTTTATCCTTCATGCTGCCTGCAAGATAGGGAGAATGTGAACAATCAGCCAGAGCTCTGATTGCTTACCTTGTCTGTCACCTCTTTCAGCAGATCCCCTAGCTCGGCGACTTGGGGGACTCCTACTACATGGTTTGTATCGCGCTTGACCAAGCCTGAAACTACAAGTAAGCTTCAAGTGACATTGATACATTACCTTGTGCAGCTCCACCAGTTACAGATACCACCCCTGGATGAAGGAAGAGTACTTCCAGAGAAGATGCCACATCTACCTATGAGACAGATAAGGAAAGTCAAGACGATACCACACTCCAGTACTTAGAAGTTTCGTGGTTACGAGATCATTCTCCCACAATATTTCCTACTGTCATTTGTACTAATTCATTCACTTGTACTCACTAAAAGGAGAGCTTGAACCTATGTACTTGTGTAAACCCTTCACAATTAATGAGAACTCCTCTATTCCGTGGACGTAGCCAATCTGGGTGAACCACGTACATCTTGTGTTTGATTTCCTATCTCTATCCATTTATATACTTATCCACACTAATGACCGGAACAATCTAACGAAGATCACAAAAAGTGACCGTTTTCGCTACCTATGATCTATCTTGCAATAGAATGGAGAATTAGATGGAGATCTCAACCATAGAATACAAGCTGGATGGATGAAGTGTAATAGTGCATCCGGCGTGTTGTGTGACCGTCGTAGGCCACTGAAGCTCAAGGGAAAATTTTATAGGACGGCAATAAGGCCAGCGATGTTGTATGGCACAGAATGTTGGGCGGTGAAGTATCAACACGTACACAAAATGGGTGTAGCGGAGGTGAGGATGCTTCGTGGGATGTATGGGCACACGAGAAAGGATAAGATTGGGAATGAGGATATCCGAGGTAAAGTAGGAGTAGCCAAAATTGAAGGAAATATGAGAGAAAATCGGTTTCGGTGGTTTGGACATGTGCAAAGAAGGCCTACTGACGTTCCGGTTCGAAAATGTGACTACGGGACAGAGGTTCAGGGCCGAAGGGGCAGAGGAAGACCTAGGAAACTTTGGAAGAGATCCTAAGAAAAGACTTGAGTACTTGGATCTAACGGAGGACATGACACAAAAACCGAGCGCAATGGCGTTCTAGGATTCATATAGCCGACCCCACTTAGTAGGAAAAGGCTTTGTTGTTGTTGTTGTTGTTGTATCGTTTAATCAGAGTTGCATCCCGAATAAATGGATTTTATCTTTTATAAAATGTTCTTTAAAGATTTGGATTATGAAAATATGAATATTGGAACATGTTCCTGCAAAAGTAATGAACAACTGGTAGGAGGAACGTGGAAATAGGACGCATGCATTGTCCTCGGATGACATTTTTGGGCGGGAGTTCTTATGTAAATTGCTTTTAGTTTAGTAATGAAACCAAACATATGGAAACACTTCATATTGAAAATCGAGCTGATTCTTTACTTGGGAACGGTTTAGTCAGATAGGACCAACTTATAATCAAGTTCAGTGTATTCTTGTTTTTTCTACAAAGAAAAATCCTAGCATCCTAATACTATTTTGTTAACGAGCTCCCTATCTTTATGCTTATAGCTCTGCTTAATCATGATGTTGTTTGCTTTTTGTACTTTCAGGAGGCTCACAAGCGGAGTAACAACTGGTTACCTCCTCCATGGGCTATAATGGCGATGATTGTTCTTGGTTTTAACGAAATTTATGATGCTTTTAAAGTAATTACTTTCGTTCTTTTTTTTGTTTCCTTTTGCGAGTTTTAGGTTTTGGACATTTTTAAGTGTCCAGACGCTAATGTCTTGCACATCTGTTAATCACTGTGCCTTTTTTCTTCAAATGAAACAGGAACCCTCTCTACCTCATGGTTCTATTTGTTGCATTTTTACTTTCAAAGGCCTTATGGGTACAGATGGACATTACGGGACAGTTCCAGCATGGCGCTGTAAGTATAAAACTGAGTTTTTTTTGTCTCACTTAGTAGAGTGCAAAATTGGGATTGAACATGGAATACAACAGCTGGTGATCCTAATTTGATAGAGACGTCACTCGGGGCTGGCCTTTTTGGTTACAGTCTCTCATCAAATTGTAATTTTCTTGATTGAAGCAGTTTCTAATTCTAGTTTCCGTTATTTGTTTTTACCAGCTGTCCGGAATACTGTCCATCTCATCAAGGTTTCTACCAACCGTCATGAATCTTCTAAGAAAACTCGCGGAAGAAGCTCAGGGGAATCAAACACCGGAAGCACAAAGGCGGCCAGTTTCTCTTTCTCAGAGTTATAGAAGTGAAACACCTCAGCCAAATCCGGTAACAAGCTCATTCCCGGAGTCCTCAGTGTCATCCAATATCTCGTCATCAGATACCGGCATGGAATACTCAAGCCCTCCTTTAAGACAAAGGCGAACGGCAAACGTTGAGGAAGTTGAATCTTCATGATGTATGATCTCTGTTGTAGTTACTGCTCATTTGTTTGTACCATGTGCATCAGATTAAGGTCACTACTCATTTGTGCGATAGTTTTCATTCTTTTTTATTTTGTTTCTTGTTTGTAGTTACTGAAAATTTGAAATAAAAATAAACGGGGTTTGCTTAGTGCCTGGTTTTACAAATTATAGGTTAGTTATGTTTCGAGGAATTAGATTGTAAAATCTGCGCATTCTAAACATTGCCTCTCTTTCTTGACAACTTTTTCTTCATATTAGTATTGTCAGTAAAACAAATGAAAAAAACTTATGTGAAGCTCAGCTTGTCACTGGACTTTGCTGAGTGCTGCTACGATCTACTTTTTATCATTCTTCTATTTTAATTTTTCATAATTATCTTTTCTACTAATTAAGGGTAAATTAATTAGGATAATCTACTACTGATTCATATACACAATGACAATCATATCAGATTTAATTAGAGCTATGCATAGTCTTGAAAATATAAATTTAATTAGAGCTATGCATAGTCTTGAAAATCATGTAGGATATTACACAGGAAAATTAGAAAAAAAAAATGAAATCAAAATATAAAATATAGCACTTAAATCCTACCACAATGATTTTCTCGTGTTCAGCAAAATAGGAATGGTTGTGCATGTATGCTTCTTTCCTTTCTTCATAAGAATATGAATGGTATACAAAAAGCATTGTGGATGCTAATATTTTATCAATAAAATGAAGGAATCTTTAACGAAAAGCATCCGGTACTGTTCACTTTAACGAAAAACCACATTTTTACACTAAAAATTCAATACTGGTACTATTCACCCTTTATTTTGTCCTTATCATTAAAACTCAAAGTTTTCAAGCCCTTTTCATTAGTTTTCCTTAAAATGAATTATAGTATCTACTTTGACTAACAACAAATTGAATATCACAAAAATATATTAAATTGTCTATATGTTTGCTTTCTTTTTCTTTTCTTCTACCTTGACAAGCAGTAGCCTGACATTTAGATCGTGGGTGGATTTTCCCAATTAAGATGCAGTTGGGGATCAATATGATTTTAACTATGTTTTTGAAATTGAGTTTTTTTTTTCTTTTCATTCCATGATAGTTGGAGAAGATTGGCTTTTTTTTTTTCTTCTTCTCGTGTCCTTATGAAGAAAGTAAAGAAACTGGGAAGAAGACTGCAACGGCAGTGAAACTGGGTTTGCTCAGCGCCTGGTTTTACAAATTATAGGTTAGTTATGTTTTGAGGAATTAGATTGTAAAATCTGTGCATTTTATAACATATGAATTTAATATCGTATTGTCTTTTAGCTTCTATATTGGTATGTGTGGCAAAAAAATGGGTACCTCTATGAGAAAATTTTGTAGATCGATGAATATTTTCAAATTTAGATATTTATTAGATCCCATAAATTCTATTCGCGAAAGTCTAAGTCAATGCCACGTACAATATTTGTTAAAACATATTTAGGGAACTATTATTAGCACTCAAAAAATCTCATTCTACACTCCGCACAAATGTATTTTTCTTTCTAATTATAGAAAGTTTGGAGTGACAAATGAGATTTTTGGAGTGCTAATAACAATTTTCTATATTTATATACATTTTATTTTAGTTTGGAAGTCGACTTTTTTTCTTTCTTTTCTTTCTTTATCAAGTTGGGAGTATCACTGAGTGTGACCCTGTGCAACTAGTTGTTGATTCGTTTTGAATAATCAGCATTATTTCTTACAATGTCTTGGCGTATGAATAACAGAAAGAAAACGGTCATGATACAAGCTAAATAGTAGTAATACTAATTAGTAAACAACTTGTGCATGATGTTTGCTTATAAACAAGTGGATGCAACTTGGAATAGTATTATTAAATGCATGATGTTTGCTTATAACTAAGTGGCATGAAGGGACAAATGTGTAGGTTGCATGACTTGGAATAGTATTAGTAAATGCATGATGTTTGCTTATAACCAAGTGGCATAAAGGGACAAATGTGTATGTTTCATGCATGACTTGGAATAGTATTAGTCGTCGGGAGATTTTGCATGAATTTGTTTTTGTTTTTAATATGTATATATTAAGTTCTATTTTAATGGGATTGCTCACCACCCCTAAGTTGTGATAATGCCTTTATTTATCGCTGTTATGTGAGTTTAATTAAATTTTGAGATTGTGTTTATCCACTACATACATTTCAATTTTTTTTTAAGTCGAGCTATAGCAGTAATAAGTTAGATGTTAGATTAGTCACTGACAGAATTCAAACCCAGATCGTCATGCAAGAGCACAACACTTTTTCACCATTGCGGTAAAGGGCCACTTGCCAACAAGTTGATTGGCATCTGTGACTTTACTAATACTATTCCAAGTCATGCATGAAACATACACATGTGTCCCTTCATACCACTTGGTTATAAGCAAACATCATGCACAAGTTGTTTACTAATTAGTACTACTCTTATTCAACTTGTATCACCGTTTTCCTTCTGTTATTCATACGCCCAAGACATTGTAAGAAATAATGCTGATTATTCAAAACGAATCAATTAGTTGCACAGGGTCATAGTCAGTGATGCTCCCAACTTGATAAAGAAAGAAAAGAAAAAGAAGTCGACTTCCAAACTAAAATAAAATGTATATAAATATAGAAAATTGTTATTAGCACTCCAAAAATCTCATTTGGCACTCCAAACATTCTATAATTAGAAAGAAAAATACACTTGTGCAAAGTGTAGAATAAGATTTTTGGAGTGCTAGTAACAATTCTCTAAATATTTCTTAACAAATATTGTACGTGGCATTGACTTAGACTTTCGTGAATAGACTTATAATTTCTGGTATCTAATAAATATTCATCGATCTACAAAATTCATCGATCTACAAAATTTTCTCATGGATGTACCCATTTTTTTGCCACATATACCAATATAAAGGCTAAAAGACACTACGATATTAAATTCATATGTGGTCTAGATATTTATGAATTTAATCATTAAAATGTATAAGCTCAATTATACATTCAAGTTCGATCAATTCCCGAAGTTTTGGTCAACAATAAAAACTGTTTACCTATGAGTTCACCTATAAAACGTGCAAAGACAATATACTTTTTTACCACAATTCTATGTATTGTGAATTTTTGTCCGTAACTTTTGTGGCATATAGAGGCTAAAAGATACTACGATATTAAATTCATATGTGGTTGAAATATTTATCAGTTTAATCATTAAAATGCATAAACTCAATTACACATCCAGGTTAGATCAATTCCCGAAGTTTTGCTCCACAATAAAAACTACTTAGCTATGAGTTCGCCTTTAAAATGTGCAAAGGCGATATACTTTTTAACCACAGTTCAATATAATGTGAATTGTTGTCTGCAACTTTTGTATCTAATAAATATCCACGGTTAAAAATATTCATTGATTTACCAAAACTTATCATGGACGTACCCTTATTATTTTTTTTTTACCACATATAGGAATATAGAGTTTAGAAGATTCTCATTTAATTGAAACATACCAAACTCATTAAACACTCTAACCAGAAGCTCATTTAATTGAAAAGAAAAAGGAATCAATACGTAAAATTCGAACCAATCGATTGAACACATACCAATTATTAAGCTAATTAGTGCTCTAGAAATTTAGAGATGTCAAATGATGAAGAAAAGGAAGAGGAAGAGGTTTGGATGACTACGAAGGAGTAGTTGAGGGTGCAGAATGACAACCATGGGAGATGGAAGGATTTTTCAAAGAGAGAGAGAATGGGCTTTGCTCCACGGAGATGATGGACTGGTTAGGGTTTTGATTTTTTTATTTTTAAGTAGATAGAGTTGGGTGTAAAAAGATTTTGATTGAGTTGAGTTTTGATAAATAAGGGCACTTTCGAAAATAACGTTGGGCATAAAGAGATAATGATAGAGAAATTAAATACAATGTGGGTATAAAAAGTAAGTTGGATGTTGAGATACAAAGTGAGTTCAAATAAAATTTCCCTTTAAATAACATGTCTATTATTTTAAGTCAAATTGAAAAATATTATATAGGGTATTTGGTATTCTAGCGAGTACAAAGTATTATCCTAGAATTTTTGCCAACTGAGAAAATGGCGGACTTTTATGGGATAAATTACCAAGTTTGACCTCATTCTTGGTGAGTATTTGCTGCTTTGCCATTTGTTGCAGGGTCTATGGAAGTAGTATGCTAGAGATTTTTTCATGTACCGGAACACATACATCAAATGTAATAATACAATTGATTGAAAACTTAAAAAAAAAAATCAACTAATTATATTATGGCACTTGGTGTACTAAATTGTATTTTCAGCTACATTATCCCTTCCCCTACACTGCACACCATTGTACACCTCACGGGTCCATATGTCAATGGATGCATGGTGTAAATAATGTCTCACTTGTTGGTTAGCTCGTTACAAGTTTACGAACATCACCAGCTTCCAATCTCAAACCCGAGAACAATGATGCTCACATATTGATGAAACATAGATTATGAGTTTGGATATTGGCTTTGCAATTTTTTCCATTAATCTAGTTATTCGTTCAGTCTACAATTCGGTTGGAGTTGCCAAAGATTCTTTGCACAATTTTTTAATTTAATTGGATCCATCAATAAAAAGAGGGTTTCGAACTTAAAAAGTTTTGAGAGTTTTTGAACATTGAAGATAATAAAGTCCATGGTTTTGTACTGGTTGTTTGTTTATTCTTTTTGAACGAATGAAAATGGTTGGCTTTGAGATCTAAGGTTTTAGGTCTAAAAGTTAAAAACACCAGGAAATGTGTCGGATTCAGTTTAAAATTCGAAGATTTTGGACCTTGAACCTTTTCTTAGGGAATAAAATAAGGCTTATTATATTAACACCACACAAATTGTTGAATAAACCCCACATACTTAATACACCCCACATTTGCTTTTTCACTTAAAAATTATCTTAATACACCCCACGTACTTTCCCATAATACCCCCACACACCACATTCTCAATATACACCTTATATTTTGTACATGCACCCCACATTTTCTATACATCTCACATTTCTCAAATCTTATAACACTCATTTTTTAATTTTCAAAGACCGAATCTAAACATTTGAACGTTTAGTTTGCCGCAAGATTTCAAATCATTAGCAATGGCTTCA